TCAAATAATAAATAATATAAACTACAGCACAGCTTTGAATCCTGCTAGAATATTGCAGTTGTTAAAGTGTAGTTAAGTACTGTATGTATAGCCGCGGTTCTGATAAGACACTTCTTAATGGGTCAACCGTATTAGCTGTCGAACCAAGAGGAATAGAGCAACAGTACCATGCCTCAACTTTCATACAAACTGAATTCACGTAAACTAAAAAAAAACACTAAACTAAAATAATTCTTCTGAAAAACACGGCTGCGTCTAACTATCATTTCATTATCGATGAATTTGACGAGTGTCTTTATGAATGGCCTATGACATGGTGGGGAAAGAAAAGTAATAAAATGCACATCGCAACTACCGAAAGCCTTAGTTGACATATTCAAACAGCTTGTTTTGTCCAACCAACAGCCCAAAACTCTAAATGCATCAGTTAACTATCGTAGAAGACAAAGTAAACTCGCAAACATTCACATTTGACGTGCTGGAGCCAACACATATTTTGCTTTAAAAATTATCTAAATGACTATTCCGTTATCAGAATTGTTGCCAGTACCTATTCTGTCAATCTACTAGTCAATTACCCAGCTTATCATTACAGCTCGAATAAAAAAAACATGGCAACCAGGGTTGAATTAATTCACTTGCAATACAGCAAATACAGTAAAATGAATTACAGCAAAATGTTCTTATAAAGCTGCTTCTGCAGTTTCAGGTGCTGTTTTGAATTGAATGGACTGTTTACTGAATGCCAATTGACTCCCAGCCCTGCTCTCATGGTAAAGGCATATTAAATGGTGAATCTAAGAGGCCGTGCACCTCTTGCCCTCCGATGACAGAGAACAGATGATCTGAATTTCAAACGGCCACAGCCTCCGTGAACCGGTCTGTGTCTGCTCTCTGGTCACTGGCAGAGAGGATGGAGGGGAAAAAATGAGGAGGGGGGGCGTGAGATTGGGGGGGGGGGGGGGGGGGGGGGGGGGAAGCCCAGCAGAGAAAAAAAGAAAAAA